ACATACCCATGTCACAACATAGTATTAAGTCTTACCAAACATACCCATGTCACAACATAGTATTAAGTCTTACTAAACAACACTCTTACCAAACATACCCATGTCACAAAATAGTATTAAGTCTAACCAAACATACCCATGTCACAACATAGTATTAAGCCGTACTAAACAACACTCTTACCAGACATATCCATGTCACAAAATAGTTTTAAGTCTTACCAAACAACACTCTTATAAGACATACCCATGTCACAACATAGTATTAAGTCTTACTAAACATACCCATGTCACAACATAGTATTAAGTCATACAAAATATACCCATGTCATAACATAGTATTAACTCTTATAAGACAACACTCTTACCAGACATACCCATGTCACAACATACCATGTCACAACATAGTATTAAGTCTTACTAAACAACACTTTTACCAGACATACCCATGTCACAACATAGTATTAAGTCTAACCAAACAACACTCTTATCAGACATACCCATGTCACAACATAGTATTAAGTCTTACCAGACATACCCATGTCACAACATAGTATTAAGTCATACAAAATATACCCATGTCATAACATGGTATTAAGTCTTACTAAACAACACTCTTACCAGACATACTCATGTCACAACATAGTATTAAGTCTTACTAAACATACCCATGTCACAACATAGTATTAAGTCATACAAAATATACCCATGTCATAACATGGTATTAAGTCTTACTAAACAACACTCTTACCAGACATACCCATGTCATAACATAGTATTAAGTCTAACCAGACATACCCATGTCATAACATAGTATTAAGTCTTACCAAACATACCCATGTCACAAAATAGTATTCAGTCTTACCAGACATACCCATGTCATAACATAGTATTAAGTCTTACCAAACAACACCCTTACCAGACATACCCATGTCACAACATAGTATTAAGTCATACAAAATATACCCATGTCATAACATAGTATTAAGTCTTACCAAACATCCCCATGTCATAACATAGTATTAAGTCTTACCAAACATACCCATGTAATAACATAGTATTAAGTCTTACCAAACATCCCCATGTCATAACATAGTATTAAGTCTAACCAGACATACCCATGTCACAACATAGTATTAAGTCATACAAAATATACCCATGTCATAACATAGTATTAAGTCTTACCAAACAACACTCTTACCAGACATAGCCATGTCACAACATAGTATTAAGTCTTACTAAACAACACTCTTACTAGATATACCCATGTCACAACATAGTATTAAGTCTTACTAAACAACACTCTTACTAGATATACCCATGTCACAACATAGTATTAAGTCTTACTGAACAACACTCTTACCAGACATACCCATGTCACAAAATAGTATTAAGTCTTACCAAACATAGCCATGTCATAACATAGTATTAAGTCTAACCAGACATACCCATGTCACAACATAGTATTAAGTCTAACCAAACAACACTCTTACCAGACATACCCATGTCACAACATATTATTAAGTCTTACCAGACATATCCATGTCACAACATAGTATTAAGTCTTACCAGACATACCCATGTCACAACATAGTATTAAGTCTTACCAAACAACACTCTTACCAGACATACCCATGTCACAACATAGTATTAAGTCTTACTAAACAACACTCTTACCAGACATACCCATGTCACAACATAGTATTAAGTCTTACTAAACATACCCTTGTCACAATATTTTTAGTTGTAAGTCTCTCTAAACAACATTGTTAATAAACATTTAAATGTCTGCTAGACATATTCATGTCACAATACATTTAATATTGACAGTCTCAATGAACATTTGGATGCATTAAAGTATCCACTTTTAAAACTAAACACTGAAATACATAGAAAGTATGAAAATCTCATCATTTAAGTTGAATAATGTTAATAAGTTCATCAAATCTGCATTATTATGTAACTTGATTAACTCTTCCAATGAAGACTTTAAAGAAACGGAATACAGTTCCATACAGAATGTAGTCCTTTACATATAGAAATCAATAATATTTCTGGTTTTAATTGAAGTAACACAGGGTCTAGTATAATGACACACTTGACACACTTATAAATAAAAACAACAAAAAGTAGAACAATATTCCCCTCCCCTTAAACAGCAGGTTGTAATTCTCTTCTTGCAATAAAATTTTAAAACAAAATGAACATAAATATTTTTTGACACCAATTACAATACCGTTAAGTTATACCAGTAGCCTTAAATACCACATCAGTATTGGTAATAGCACTCTCCACTTAAAACGAAGTTTTTTGATAATTACGAAATATCACAGAAATTTAACAATATTTAACATTAAGGTATAGTTATACATAATAAAATTATATACCAGTATGAAATGGATGGCCTCGCATCACATTATAATGAACAATCATGATAATAAATGAGTAAACATGTATATTAATATATATGTTCTGTATATAATGGTAAAACGTATCATCAGACATATATAGAAATAATTTAATCTTGTTTGTAACAAGCATTTTCATAGGCTTAAAAAATGAAAAAAAAATGACGTCCATCAATAAAACTGGATTTCCACAGGGATTGGGTATATTGATATTAGATTAAATCTTTAGGATTGACTTGAATATGTTTTCATGTTATTGAGCTATAACACAAATAAACGAAGTGTACTCTAAACAAGAGGCCCAATGGGCCTGCATCGCTCACCTGGTATAAATCTCACACTTGCAACCTTAAAAGTGATCTAAAATAAAGCTACAGGCAAAATATAAGTATTTATGATTTAAGTCATTCAAAAGAACCTGTTAAAAGATTTTAAAACATTTCACCCCTGTTACTTTGAAAGTCGACCAAGTCATTATGTTGAACAAATTGTATAGCCTTTCATCTCAGTATGCAACTTGCAAAGTATCAACATCCTGGGACCCATGATTATTCAGAAGAGGTCGTTTAAAGATTTTAAACAAATTTGACCCCTGTGACCTTGAATATAAGTCA